AAATTCTTGCTGATTTTTGCACACTTCTACCCTAATAGTGAGGAAACTCCCGAGCTCAGGTGAGGAAATCCAACATAAATTCCAACACCATTGCAATGACCAGACTCAGAGGAGTCTCATCAAAGAAAGACGAGATGGAGCTCCATAAAAATGAACTCGAAAGACCAAGGCATAGGCTAGGGGACACGCCGATACACAAAGTAGACCAACAGAAATACCCTAGAATTTCATCTATCATATATTTTTCGAGTAACGGGTCGCCTCAACAATTGCTTCTCATCCGTATATGCAGCAGAAGCTCTATAACGAGGAGATGCTCACCTATGAGGTTCTTGCCGAATTGTGTATCGACCGCAGTCTTGCCACCAACAGAGGAGTCCACCATAGATAACACTGTCGTTGGAACCTGTTCGTAAAAAAAAGAGATATAACAAAAATGTGAGAAAATATGCACATGGTCATGGAAATTTTTGAGAAAATTTTGGGAAATTCGAATTTTGGTTTCTGTATATAAATTCTCACATATAATGAGAAAATTCTTGAGAAAAAAGAGACGGAGTCACCTGAATGAATCTAATTCCTCTATAATAAGATGCTGCAACAAAACCAATGAGATCTCCTATAACGCCACCACCGAGGGCAACCAGGACCTGACATAAACCCATCGTGGTGATCCAGTGTGGGAGGAAATATGCACATGGTCAACTACATGTGTTGGTGACAGTGTGAAAATTCCAAGAGGAAATTTTGGGAAATTCTAATTGGTTTCTGTACACTCCTGAGGAGGGCGACCACATATCTCGACACTGCTTACCGCGCGGCGGTCAGCGCCTTTCCGTGATAAGAAATCTTCAATTTCGGCCTTCTGATCTCGACATTTCGAGGCCTGCAAGACAGCACCTCGATGAGAGATGACGAATGGCAATGTTGTCCCCACCTCGCCACTGTGGATACACATAAGGTTCACATTATCACCGCCTACTATGGAAGCTAGAGCAACCTCGATGATGGTCACCTACAACAGATGAAACGTGAAAATAGACTCAAAACACACAAATACATATATATAAAGAAAGATAATGGAGTTTCACCAGTCTCACGTGAAGTGACGATAATTCGGCGGTGATATGCAGTAGTCGTGAAATATATTTTTCACCAGTGTTTTTCATATCATTAGGGTGAAGATCCATTATACCATGTATGGATAAAACATTGAGAAAAAAAAGCATTGGAGTTTCACCCTAGTGATATGAAAATATATTTCACGACGAATGCATATCACCGCGAATATCGCGTTTTCACAGAGCATTGCGATGCTACTTCACGAAAAACGGGTGGAACTCCAATATAAAAACACAAAAACATACACATATGAAAATACGATATACATTCTCATGAAAAAACATCAAAAAAGTACCACTATACCAAAAATAGAGCAAATTTTCAAACTAGATGGCGCTTCAAAATGCCCTCGGCCGGTCGGTCAGCCGCTGAGACTCTTATGAGATGAGCCCACGATCTTTTCTCGGCAAGTAGAGTAACATCAGCATTCAACAGTGTGGAAAGAAGATATTCACATGGTCACCTACATGTGTTTGTGAAAATATGAAAATTCTGAGGAAATTTTGGGAAAATAATTTTTTTCTACACTTCTAGTGAGGAAACTCACGAGCTCAGTTGAGGAAAGCAAGCATATTTTCTCGCACTAGAATTCGCAGAGATAGTTTCGTAGAAGTGGAACAACTCGAGTTTAGAAAGGATACTTACCAAAGCACTGTTGAGGCCCAGCAAGTTAGCGTCAACGAAAACGAAGAATTTAGTGACGCGTTGCTTTTCATCCTGAGAAAAAACACATCCGCATAAACAAGTGATATTTGTTTTCTTACTGTGCAAACTTCCGAGACAAGTTCCTTGAATAACGGTGAAGTGCATATGCCTCGACCAACGACTACATCGTACCTTCACACAAGCGACTTTTCTGTTCCGACCGGTCTGTTGTCATCACTCACTTTCCACCCTTGGTGTTCACTTTAACAGTCCGCAAGGAAACCCCTTCACGAGTTGAGGCAACTACTGACGACGACATGAAGTAAAACTGACGAAAGAACTTCACTTCCGGAGTGTCCAAGTGAGTTTCTATTAGAGCTATGAAATCTTCCAACAGAGTGGTAGTTGTCGAACACCGCACGAAGTGATCCCTGTAATGCAGGAGCTCCGCACAAGCTTGCTGTGCTGCTGCTACCACCCGAGTTCGATCCTTGGCAGGGGCATTTTAACATCTCATTACTCGCCAACTCAAGTGCAAGCCATCTTAGAAACGACACTAGAATCCTTATCACTCCAACAGGTAGTGCTTCCGAACTCCACCCTGTTTCGATCGGCCAACAGGAAGGAAGATGTTCCATCATGCCATCAACTTCCTCAAAGGGAACAGGGCTTCATCACAGTTCTTATATTCTGACTACCACATATGAGTAAGAGTGAGATCAACTGTGGTAATTCCTATTACAAGAAGACTATGAAGGGAATATATTTTCATTCAGTAAGACCTTCCTTATTATCTTCGTAAGTACATTCGTTCGGCAAAAAATACCCTCACCCGTAGTACTATCTGTGGACGGGCTAATGAGATGAGTTACAACGGACATGTAGCTTCTGGAACCGTTTTGCGGATGTTAAGGGGTGTTGGATTCCATGACGGCATTAAATTAAGCTCCTTAACTTTCAAATAAACCGAATATAAAATTAACTTTGTTGCTATTTCAATAAAGCCATACGTAAATTGTTAACTGAAAGGGTAAAAAATTAAATTTGTCGGTATAAAATTAGTTGGACCTGGAAATGCTGTAGTGAAAGACATAATTCACGACTACTACAGGCCGCGAATATCGCGTTTTTCACAGAGTTTTACGCCACTTCACGTAAAACGGGTGAAACTCCACTGAAGTGCAGTAGCACGAGAACTAACAGCGTATTCCTACTAAAGCTCAAGCCCTGTATTAGAGGATCCTACAACAGTACCAACTCCAGCAATACTCAAGCCCAGCTCTTTCCATAGCATACGAGCCCATCTCAGTCACTACCGAAGTGCTCCCGTCATCCCTCGTGATTACTATGATCTGGCAATAGCCCCCCTGGTGCAATCTTCCGGCTTGCTACCATGACGATGGTACTCACTACTACTACTACTACTACTACTACTACTACTACTACTACTACCACTACTACTACTACTACTACTACTACTACTACTACTACTACTACTACGACCCTGCATATCTAAAGGAACATGACCTTGTGGTGAGAAGGGATACACTATCAGCCGAGTCTCATCTGCTCGTAGTGCTATATGCCGAGACCTCGCCCGGAGGTAATCTGCCCCGACGCTACTGTTGGCTAGAGCTCGACCCCCGACCAATGATCTACTCCAACGCAACAATGAGGGCTTCACATTAGTAATGCCTTGATGACGCTTCATGATGATAACAGTAAATGAGACTGCAAAATTAATGATCACCGATAGAAGGACAATACCCCATGAGGGGATTGAACCTGGGACGGTAGGTGGATATAGCACCATCCATCCCATTGCACCAAATATTCCTTGACAAAAGACTCTCAGAAGCATCACCACTTCCCTTGCAAACCACTCAGAAATGACGTTTACTAATGCGAACAACTATGACAGAGCCTCAAGCCACTCTACGGCTGAGACTTTAGCAATTTCAACAACATGCAATGTTGAACAACATTTAAAAAGTATTATGGGTAAATGTACTCATACCACTCCTTCGCCACTTCATTTAACCCCGCCTCCCAATGTGTTCTCAGCAGAGTATGTCAAATAGAGAAAGCCATCCTCGTCCTTATGAGCATCATAAAGCTCCGACATCATTGAACCTAGCGCGTCAACACTTATCACATTTGCCTTCCTTCGACCACTCCTACCCGTTCGTGGGGTCTTCTTCTTCACAAAAAGATAGATGGTCTGTTCCGCTGAGATCCCTTGGATGCCACGATGGCCTTCCGAAGCGTTACTCTCCGCAGCTTGTGTGATATGCTTGTGCACTATATACCTGTGGACAATAAAAAAGCTCTTCGTGCGAGGAAAGTCATATGCTGTCTTGATGAACTTCCCGCGGAGAAGCTTCGGGGGCATTGGATAAACCGATTTCGAAACTTACATACGATTCTAGAATTGCTCCTTACACTTATATTGGAATTTCACTCGTTTTACGTGAAGTGGCGTAAAACTCGATATTCGCGGTGCTATGCAGTAGTCGTGAAGTTTGTTTTCATATCACTAGGGTGAGACCCCAGTATGATTCTAGAATCTATTCTGAATAGATCCAAAACTGATTCAATGAAAATGGGGTTCAAAAACGCTTCCAGAATTTGATATTGATGTACATCTCTTTCCTATGAACCCTCTTGAACACTCTATAGAGTTCTAATGCTGCTCAGTGAGGACATCTCTCGCACCGCGTTGGGGACTCCGATTCGAGTGCCGAGGTCTGACGAGGCTGATGGCCCTCCTCGCTCCCCAACATTGTGATTAAATGGAGATTCTTCATCCTCACCAGATCTCGAATCGATTGTATGCTCGATCACACGAAGTTGTGAGCGTCATACGATTTCGAGAAAGTCACTTTATTGTGCTTTGCGCATCTTCACAAGGTTGCTGTCGAAATGTATTATATCCCTATTGAAGACCCCCCCCCTAGAAGACTCTATCTGTTTAAATTGGGAATCAATTCCAAGTGCGGCACGCGTAAAGGGGGTGCACTTGTTTTCTTACTTGAACTCTCCACACAGCATAGTCCCCGGGACGAGGAACTTCTTTTTCTCGATCTCAGGGAGGTCTGAACGTTCTGCCCTTTCCACGATCACTGGTACTCTGTCGGGATACCTGAGAAGAATAGGAAATCTTCCGAGTGCGCAAAGATACTCCTGAGAGACGAGGCCTCACTTCTGAAGAATACGACGAGCCTCAGCTAGCCTGCGATCGAAAGGGATAGCATCTTGCATGGGGGAAGAGTTGGATGGCATTGGGGAAGTTTTGCTCAATATGTGCGGGTGCCGAAGAGTTCTATATTACCGCGCGCCATAAAATTACGCGCTCGCCCAAAACTGGTCGTATCATTAATCTGATACGATTATCCATGAGTCTATACAGGCTCCTTCCCTGACTTTTTCTTTACGGTGAGTATCAGCTGCTTAGCGACAGAAAAATATACTTCCCCTGTCGACTCACTCGTGGTGGGTGCTTGTACTTCCCTGATCGTCTAAGCGTCATTTTCTCAATGGCGCCTCCTTCACCAGTAATTCAGCACGCTAAGCTTCCCTTGCCAACAGCCCCACGACTCCCTCAACCGGCGGCCTCCTCAGCCTCACACCAACCGGGTAGGTCACCAGTCTCTGGCCGGCCCCTGCTAGGGTCTTCTTAGTAGCAGCTCGAATGTGCGGTAAGAAGTGCGACCGAACGACTTGGCTCGCCGTTGAGGGAACAAGTGTTGCATCGAAGCCTAGCGCTGTAGGAAAGTGGCGAGCAGTGTGGCGGGAAATATATATGTTGTGAAAATTATGAATTTTGTGGAAAATTTTCGTTGATTTCTTGTTGCACACTCCTATGCTAGTTCTATATAATGCTTCGGAAACTCCTGAGCTCAGTTGAGCAAACCAATAGAATTTCTAGAGGTTTAGCTTGAGGATCTCTCCGTTCGAGTATTGGATCTTTATAAGTTCTGTCGCCCCTACAGGTGGCCCGTTATTGCTATCCACTGCTAGGTAGATGCTTATTCTTGCTGCCATTTCGATTGTGTTTCTCAGTCGCCTAAGTCCAGCCCGGAGCCGCCAGATTTACTGCCATACTTCAATGGCTTCCCTCATGACTCCTCCACGTGGTGATGAACATCCATTTGAAAAACGTACAAAAAGTTGTCCAACATTCTGTTGCCTATAGTCCGGGTGGATCTAATTGGAGTTTAGTTGAGGCATTTACGGTATGCAGTGTGGATTCTTTTATCATCATGAGTGCTGCCGCTACGACTTCGAACCCTCGAGAGCAGGCCATCAACAGTTATATTGCTAAAGTGAAGGAACATAGGGAGTACGAGGCCAGATGCAAGAAACGTAATAGGGGGGAGAAGGAAGGCATAGGGTAGGTTGTGGTGAGCATTCAGTTCGAGAGCAAATCAAAGAGGTTGAGAAGGACTTTGAGACATCTGAGGACCACCTCAAGGCTCTTCAGAGTGTCGGACAAATAGTAGGGGAGGTCCTCAAGCAGTTGGATGAGGAAAGGTAATAGGAGTAGTAGGAGGAGGAGAAATAGTGACAGTTCTGTAAAGTCAGCGTTGGAATTTGAGTGGAAAAATATATGCCGACGTGGGTTATGGTTTTTGTAAGTCTCGGATAACGAGACCCTTCACTTCACATGATATGCTAATCCGTTTGATACTGGAGTTGGCTCTTGCTGATTCCATTGTTAATTTTAGGTTCATCGTGAAGGCTTCTAGCGGTCCGCGTTACGTCGTGACTTG